GGGAGCTTCGTTGGGAGTTCTTATGCATTCACCTTATATTCCGGGCCGGCACTAAGTGATTACCTCTCTGTTCTGATTCTGATTCTGTCCATGGCGAACAATTTTGCTGGTGAAGAATTCGCATCAAGAGAGGCTTGGAATAATCGATTGTCTCAGCTTTTTGCCAATAGGAACGAAGGCTTCTATGAGAGCGGCATAATGATATTACCCTTAAAATGGGAAAAAGTTATCGAACAAAACGGCGCATATTTGACCTAAATCGGATCATTCTAACTATAGCAATTAAAGCTTTCAATTTCATGCAAAAATAATGGATTTATTTTTACTACACCAATATATACATATTATGTGCATAGTACATATGTAAATAAAACACCAATGAAGATACATACGGGAATAAAACTTTGCAGAAATCCTGTCGTTTTAAGCACCCAGGTTCATACTCCATCCATATTCCGTAATATGTAAGATATATTATTGATATTAAAAGATAATCACTTTCTGATGATTATGTTCCCTTGTGACAAAAATCGGGTCAATACTTCCCTATAAAAACTTTCGGCTGGCTTTATTCCATATATATTGTCAATATGTAATATAACTTAGAAAACTTTAGTGAACATATAATATTGATATACTATCGTTTAATACTAAAAATGTGTAAATTTTAGTCGTATACTCAATATATATATGTATATATAATATAGCCTTTTGATTGAATTTATATCACATATGTACATACGAGTACATATATCGCTTTGGAATTAGTCAGGTAGATTTTGATATAAATATCTCGGACACGGAGCAACATATAGTAATGAAACTAATACCATGTCCGGCCGACACTTAATCACAAGATTTAGGCTGCTGTGTAGATTTTTTCGCTAACCTACTGGATTTAGCAAGATTAAAAAAAAAAATGACACTTGTTGATCTCGTCACCTAGGTTGAGCGCCCTCTGTTTGGCAGTAGAGAAATTTATCACATCTGATTTAGACACTACAAGAGAAGAAATGGAAACAAACAAATTAATTAGAAGTAATACAATCGACTACCCAAAATATTTGACCACATGTTCTGCATTATGTACGCAATTAAATAAAACGAACCACATTATAATACATATACTACTAACTTGCTCATGACAAATCCGTTTGGTACCTCTTCTGCCAGTGTGAAAATGGGTAAATCCGATGATACACCCAATCCATATATAATTTAACAGTTATAAATAAAGTCGTCAGAAGTAGTAGCCGATATCAAAATTGGACAACGGGCATGTTACCGCCCACCTTTAGAAGAAAATGAATATCTAAAGATCGACTCGACATGGTGTATGATATTATTCTGGCAATCCTATTTTACGGTGTGAAAATCGGCGAAGACAGATGACATTCACGTTTACTTCTCATAAAACACAATTCTTAATCCATCTGACTCCTTCACTTAACACTATACGAATCACGCACAAATGAATATATCGGGATAACACTTTGCACAAATAGTGCCTTTTAAGTATGCCTTCTCAAGTCTAAAAATTGTCAAAATCGGACCATAACTTTTCAAGTCTCCAGATACCAAATATATGGACCGCAGTGCTTATGGTTGCCCGTTTACCGAAAGTAGCGTTCTGTCTGGGAGATACTTATGTTATTGAAATTCGGAAATAATATTTTTCTGATAGTAATGTACCCTTGCATTACAAATGGATAAAATTGGATTAATACTACTCCTAGCTATTATATGCTTAATATAATATAATTGCTTCAATATATATATGTAAAATATTTAATAAAATTAGGTGAACGTATAACACTTGATATTCTCTAGTTTAATGCCTAAAATGTGTGAAATCTGTCCATGAATAACCCCAGCTCCCATATAGGTACTAATATAATAATTTGCTTTATACTTCATGAAAAGCCTTCTGCGAAAAGCATCTAAGCTGTTGAAAAGGTTTTTACCATTAACATTAGCAAGACTGAAATGGTGATTATTCAAACTTCACGTCATCGGTTGAGTTAAGCTGCTGCAGCGGACCTATTGATAAAAGGTGGAGTTAATCACCAAAAGGAGTTCCTTCGCTCTATGAAACCATAACAGAGCTATGTTCTATGAAATTTTTGAATGGAGGAAGGCGCAGGACTACGCTCTCGATGAAATTTGTGAGTGTTCAATGAGAGGCACTCAAGACTCACAACTATGGGACTCAATGCCTTGCTACACATAGCACCCGCGGCCAAACATCGAAAGTACCCAGTTACAGCAAGTTACCGCATTTATTATAAGATAGCAGTAGATTTATTCCTCCGGAGTGCAGTTACCTTCAGACATTAATCTTGAGATCGGTGACCGTGAGGCAAGTAAAGGGATGTCTAAACTTATTGTATTTGGATTCAAGTTTATGATTAGACTGGTTTGGGTGCTTGACAAAGTGAAATTTCAGGAAACTGTAAAACTGCTAAGCTTGCTAGGTCAGGTCCCTCACTCTTATTATGTACATAATGGGAACGGGTAACAGCTCCGCTCGCTTCTTGTGGTTAACTACTGGATGGTAGTGCCTCAGGTGAACTCCACAAGTACTGATTATCTACTGCAGTCCCAAAACTCTTCTGGCAAAAGTTTAATCGTAATAAGAAGGTCTAGAGATTACTTCGCGCTGGCAAACTTTGCCTATCAATAGTTGTAAGAGCTTTAACTGGTCCCTGTCCGTTTGAATAATTTTGAAAATTTTATCGGATGCCAGTTTCCCGCAAGCCGAGGCCACTCTACCTTTTTAATTTTAATTTTAAATGTTTCCCTTTTTCTGTAATTCCTTGCGCCGAATTTTGGTAGCGTGATTTATGACTTAGAAACATTGTAATTTTTTGCATGCATAATTTGTGTTCGTGGCAGTATCCGATTTCGACCATCTGCAATACAAACCTTCTTATAGTATCAAAAAATACGTGTACTAAATTTCCTCACGACATCTGAAGTTATATAATATTTTTATGTACACCTCATATCTATGTATAGTGATATGGTTTGATATTGTGGTCTTATATGTAGTTTTCCATTAAATTGTTTCCATTAAATATTCAATTTTGATTTGTGAAATTTTTATTACAAAATACATGATATTTTAAATATTTCTAATGTACTATTTTGACTGTGACGAACAAGACAGACAATAACTCAAAGATCGAATTTCAGCGGATTTTTAGTACATTCGCTTATGTGCCAAATGGTAGAAAAATTAAAATTCTGACAGATGAAAATGAAATTTTGAAATTTAACATGGTGATTCCGAATGGCAGAATTTTACCTTGCTCCGGAGCTACATACATATATGTATTCACAAAGAAACGAAAGAACCACCGAATGGGAAACAAGTAATTTATATAATAGGTTATTAACTGTTTATTCCATTCAATATAGAAATGATTTATACTTTTTAAGAAAGAAGTAATTAAAAATATAATTTTTGCATTTTATTAACCGTTCTAAATGTATATCTTTTTTTTGTAGAAAAGTTGCAGAAACATTTCAATTGGTAAATGTAATTTTAAAATAAGCATTTCATTAAAAAAATTTTAAAATTTACAGTTTGAATTTTCGCTTCTCCAAAAAGATGAAAGTTGCACACATTTGGTAAACGTGTTGGCATATACATACATATGTATCCTTAAAAGATATATTTCTCGAATGAATATAAACAGTATTCTCAAAAGGTTTGTTTAAAACTGAATATTAAGATATGTGCAAGTATGTACACTAGGGTGTCCGTTATTTCCCAAGTTGATTGTTTTTGTGCAAACGCCCCCGAAATTATAGTTTTAGCCCCAAAAATAAGGATGCAATGTAAACAAGCTCTTTATTTTTAATTTAGACGGTGCCTAAGTTAATTTTCTTTTCTCATGTATATAACATGCGATTTCTTAATATTTTGCATTGAGAAATTAATTTCACAGCTTTAAAAAGTTATATATTAATACCAAATTTATTGCTCTATAAAAAGGTTTTAAAAATTGTTTTCATAAAATATTTCGTTTAAAAGTTATACTCAATTAAAATTATGCATCAAATGACTTAGCATTCATGCAAGTGCCTTATAAATTCTATGTTACTCATACGACATGATGTACTATATGAATATAATACATTTGATGCATAAGTAATTCAACTTCGACGCAAGTGTTTTTTTTTTTAATGCCATAAAAAGTTTTTGTAGAGCGTTTAATTTTCTATAAAACTAATTCGATCCTGCAGCAATGTATTAACTGGCTTCGGAAAGAAAAAAATTATTGCAAAAAGTACGAAAACCACCTGTTATTTAAATGAGGAATGAATCGACTTTGCGGCACGAGTTATTATCAATATTAAGGTTAAATGGATTTCATAATTTTTTTTAAGGCATTTACTAAAAATTTTAAAGGCGGACAGACAGTTGAAAATTATAAACCGAAGTCCTCCGCCATATCTCTAATTGTCAAGCGTTAAATACCCAAATTAAAGATATTGCCAAAAGTACATTTGTTTTAAAACTTCTAAATAACGAACGAAAAGAAATATTAGTCGGCATAAGAAATCCGGTGAAAAAATATAGAAACGAAAAAAATTATCAGTTGAAATTTCAAACGTTTTAAAAAAGAGTCGAACGCCGATATTTACCATTGCAGGCTGAAAAAATTTTGGTTCTACCGAAGTTTAGTCGTTCAGTGGTCATTCGCGAAAGCTTTCTCGTAGAAACGTCACTTTGAATCTCAAAGAAATTAATAAATATTCAATAGATACTGCCTTAAAATTAGTTGAACACATAGAAAAAAAATCTTTGAAGAAAAACTAAGGCTCAGCTGGCACCGAAGAATTTAGTACCAACCGACTTTTGACAAGTTTGCGTTTTTTATCAGTAACTTTGTTGTTTTATGTTAAATAATGGACTTTTTTTAGCCTATTGTGATTAGAATATCAAAACTTAATAAAAAAAAATTCATATTTATTTTGCTATAATTTACCAGCGTTTACAATTGAAGTATCGGTTTTTCAAGGTTACATTTACAATCGCGGTGAAAAAACCACAACTTTTAATGGACTGTTTAACAAGGAGAAATCTGAGGCAAGTACAGTGAGAAATCTAAATAATTTAATTAGTTTTAATATATGTAAGAAAAATAAAACAATAAGTATTAGAGAAAAACCCACTTTTTTTACATATATTTTAACCGATAGAAAAATGTAAATTGGCTAAAACTTGACTTATAAAAAACGGATCCAGCATGAAAGTTAGTTTATACATTAATTTCTGCGCCTTTTTTTCACCATCTCACAGTAATTTATCAATAACTTCATCAAAAATGAAGCTATTTTTGTACGGATATTTCTGTATTTTAGTTAAATATATGTATCTTAAATAAAAAATTTTGTAAGCGTAAAATTATATATATTTTTTCTCTACTTTATATTTGGTCAGTTAATCCCGATTCTAAGACCTATCTTAACCAATTTTTATAAGTTTGACCCTTTTTGATAGTTAAGATATATGTATATCTATACATATTTACAAAATTTTGGTATGAATCTAACAACTATACTATATAAAAAAAGGCATATAAAATTAAAATTTCAAGCGCATATGCAAATTTGAATTGAATTCGTTTTCCAGAGCACTCGTTTCACTCGAAATTCATTTTGAAAAAAAGTGGAAATTAAATAATCAAAGTAATATAAAACACCGAATGTCGGTTTAAAAGTGGATTTGCCTTTTTAGAAGTGGAAACTGAACCTTTTGACATCATCGTAATGATTGGGTTCGAGAACCAAAAGGGTATGAACCAAGTTTTTCATCGTGTTTTTTCGCAATTTTTTTCGAATGTGGTTTAAGCAAAATTTTCGAAGATCTTTACTCCTACCCTAGAGAGCTTCTTCTGACAGTATACCCTTTGGAAAGGTTACATGTTCTAAAATGTCGGTGTCGTATATTAAATACAAGTTCATCGCATAGAATTTCTTTTACGATGTTCGAAACTTTTTTGTTCTTTTTTTCCTGTGAATCTGTAAAATTATGTGTGCGTAGTCCAGTATAATCTCATCCAGCCATTCATTGTTTGCTTCAAAACTCTGACGCTGATTTTTTTCCATTTCAACGTCAAATTTTTGATAAACTTTTTTATTTTCACAAATATGTTAGTATTCACTGATATCATCTTTTTATCAAAATTTCTGATGTACATACATATGTATGTATGTATGTCACTACTGCCAAAAATTGTCCGTATGCCACGCAGAAATACGCACTCTCTTCGATTCTAACATTGAAGCAATAGAAACTAATTTATGTATGCGCAAAACAAATAAATTTAAAAAAAAACATTTATACCGAACCCGGCCGAACTTCAAAAGTTCAGCTCTACGATAGATTAGTCTATTAGTAAACATATTTCCGATTTCCCTTAGGGAGAGGACACATCCTTGAGTGGAAGTTTGTTTTTGCACTCTTTTTTGGGCATTTATTCAAAACCCCTTACTTTTTACAAATTTTAATTATGTATTGCACTGTTGCTTTCTTCGTAAACATGGTTTTAATACAAATTTTGCCTTTATTACGTAGGTTTTTTCAACAATAAAGCCCATCCCTAAAGTGGTGAAAAAACTAGTGAAATTGTACGTTTTTAAATCTTCAAAACTAGTGAAATATAATTAAACCATCTATTTAAACATTTAATTTTTATACTCGTATAAAACTTAATTCAACGACAACAAACTTTGAAAATTTTATTTATTTTTTACACAAAAAAGTCTTCGACTCTCATCGGCTTTTTGACAATTTTCAAACTTTTTATATTCTCTCTCATAACATGTTGTGCAGAGTATAATAGTTTCGTTCCCCTAACGGTTGGTTGTATCCTCTAAAGCTAATCGAGATATGATGACGGCACGAGTTGAATTCAGAGTGACTGTCTGTTTATCGGTATGTCCGTCTGTCCGTCCGTGCAAGCGATAACTTGGGTAAACATTAAGATAATTTTATTGAACTTCGTACACGGGTTTCTTAGCATCTAAGAAAATCTATAAAGTGCCATAACTAAGCACTAAATTAAGACACAAAACTGTAATTTGGTATAGGGGTCACAGTAGTGAGGGACACAGGTACGCTAAATATTTTATTGCCTATTTCTCATTTAACCAATTTTTAAATACCATCTGATTCTTTCACTTTATAGTATACAAATCAAACATCAATGAAGTTCTCAGAATAAAACTTTGCACAAATAATGGCCTCAAACTGTTTTACCTTTCTCCCAAAAATTGTCGAAATCGGGCTATAGCTTTTCAAAGACTCAGACAACAAATATATAGACCCCAGTTTATATAGCTGCTAGTATTGAAATTCGGTCAGAATATATTTATGATATCAGAATTAACTTGTGCCAAAATTGATAAAATCGTGTCAATTCCTTAGCTCCCAAACACATAATAAAATATTCGAACTTGAGGTTGACTTCATGGTATACCGCATCTATCGGCCAATATGTGAGGAACCTTAATAAAATTCAGAAGGAGTCTCTTTCATATACCTAATATATGGATTTTCAAACCTAAGTATGCTGAACTTTATACCAGGAAGGTATATTGGTCAATCTAAGAGGTGTCTTATTGAAATTCAGATAGCATCTTTTTCTTATAATAATATGTGGTAATACCAAAGCTGGATAAAATCGGGTGAAAATATGCCTAGCCCCCGTATACTTAAGTATACTATATCCACGAATTACAATAGCGCTTATACATTAGTCCGGAATAAAATTGGGATTTCCCATGCTTTGGTTAGGTTCCTCATATACTAATTGAGTTTATATGGCATATATTTGAAGAATAAGGTTGACCAAATATTTCGATAAAGCAGAATGTAGTAATGAAACTAAGTAAGTACATAAGTTATAAAGATACCAAAGCGATAACTTGAGTAAAAATTGAGGAATCGTAATGAAACTGTGTACACGTTTTCTATGGCATAAAAGAAAGGACGAGTTCGTACATGAGCGTAATGGGAAAACTGCCACGTCCAAAAATCGTCATTAATATAAAACTTATTCGTTCAAGTAAAATTTGAGTTTTTTTACGTTACGGTTAACAATTTGCTGTGGTTTCTCGGGTTCTGAGATTTTCCAATAACCAATTACCAAAACATTGGCCACTAAAAATGTTCTTCCAGGTGCAGATGCTTCTACAGGAAGAATGCATGTTTTTCTAGGAAGCGATTTCCAATAAATACCGATCCCCGCATTATTTATTTTGAAAAATTGGATAAATTTGGGTTCAATTAATCTATAGACAACTTAATCAATTAAAAAAATGCAAATGTGCACTTTAAGTTCTTATTTAGTTTTTAGGATTTATATTAAAATATCGTTTTCAACTTACAACGGAAACAAAAAAAATAAAAACAAGCCAATGTACTTAAATATTTAAAAATCATTGTTACAAAAAAAACAAATTAAGGACCATAACAATTCATATTATTGTATTAATGTAGCATTTGCGTTCACATACATATGTATTTAGAGATCGTTGTTTCCATTTTTTAAATGTTTATACTCTTGAAACATGTTGCTACAGAGTACATACATATACTAGTTTTGTTCACCTAACGGTTGTTTGTATCACCCGAAACTAATCAAATTAGATATAGGGTAACAAATGATCAGTATGAAGAGACGAGTTGAAATTCAAGTGACTGTCTGTCCATCCATCCGTCTGTGCAAGCTGTAACTGGAGCCAAAATTAATGTTTCTTGCCACCATAAGACGGTTGGTACTGCAGATGGAATCGGACCGCTGCCACGCCCACAAAACGTCAATAATCGACCAATAAATTGCCATAACTAAGCTCCACAATAATATACGAGACTTTTATTTGGTATGGCGAATCCCATTAGAGAGGAGCATTTGCAGTTAATATTTTTTTTTAATTCGCCGTGGTCCCGCCCTATTTCTACAATCCCTAAAGTTATAATAACCAAATTAACTCAGGAAAAAAAGTTTTGACACCGCTATCGACAGTGCGAAATCGGGTGATAACCCCGCACACTCCCCATATAACGATCAAAACTACTAAAAATGGGAATAAAGCAGTCAAAACGTTAAATATTACACACATCCGATTAAGCTAATACAAATATTTGACAAGGGGCGTGCCACCACCCACCTTTAGGGAAAAACCCATATCTCGGGATCTGCTCTGCATGTAACACTTTGTAGTATGCAAATCAAGTAAAAAAGAATGTGTCGTGATAAAACTTTGCACGAATAATGCCTTTAAATTATACCATCTTATGACCAAAAATTGTTCAAATCGAATCAAAATTGTTCAAGCCCTTAGGTACCGAATGTGTGGACCCAGTGTCTATCGTTGACTTTTTATCGAATATCGAAATTCAAAGACGATCCTTCTCTGATAATAGTATGTCTGTATGTCAAAAAGGAGTTAATTCGAGTCAATACTTCCCTTAGCCCCCATATACCGCCTACAAGTATATCGGCCAATATATGACTTATCTCAATAAAAATTATATCGTATTGTAATCATAACGTGTATCTTTATGTCTAAAATGAATAAAATTGGGAGAAAACTTGATCTAGCCCCCATATAACTAACAAGTTTTATATAACTAATATATATAAAATTGCTTCAAAACATGTTCTCAAGTAAAGCAATGTGATAATTAATGCTATCCCGTCTATTTCTCTATCGCCAATATACTCCATATAATGATTTCCGTCTTTCTACCTATCCTTTAACCGTTTAGGTTCATTAAAATGTGTGTTTTAGTGAAATTAAGTGCACAAGTTTTCTTAAAAAGTATGTGGCTCAGCGCTGAATTACAATGGAACTGGCCTTTACCGTGGTATAAACGTCATATTCAAAATACAATGAATAAGTTAAGAATATACAAAATTTAATTGTAATTTATTCACGATTTCATCGAATAATGGATGTTTAATTCTTTCGCAACATTTTTTAATGAAATATTTTACCACCACCTGAAGTAAGTTCCCGGGCTGTGATTCTTGCAAGTTGCAACATTATAAAATGTTCGGTTAGACCCGACCTTAGCCCT